CCAGTCTATGCCTCACTCGTTCAATGTCCCTATAGGACAGTTTTGGTCAAAAAAGACCCCCTGATGGTTGTGATTTTTTTTTTTTTTACTTTTTCCNTTTCAAGAGTCTTTACTTTCTTAAATTAGGAGAGGAGCCATTACATAAAGCAGCATCTGTCTGCACAGTGGTCAACAGGGAGAGACAACATTTTACTCTACCAAGGGGACCCTACAAACCATGTCTGAGCATAACAGCGAACAAGGGGGAACTGACTGCTGGAAGGAGATAGACCCCCCCCCCAAACCAGAAACCTGCTCCTTGTACCCTGGCGGAGAGAATGAGGTGAGCCTGGAGGACTCCAAAAAGCCCCGTTGGTCAATCGGAATCGGGACGAAAGACGGCTGGGAAGGGAGAACCAGGGGAGTCACTCTTACTCGAGGTAGCCGAAAACCAGGATGGAAATTGGAGTTAGAAGCCCCCTCTGACCAGGAGGAGCTAAATGAAGCCTCGTTGAGAGGATCCTCTGAAGAGGCATGTAATCCAGTTGGTGATGGAAATTTTGGAAAATCTCAACATCCGGGGGGAGCCAGACTGGCAACCGAGAAGCATTGGAAGGGCGGCAATTGGGGATGAGCCAGAGAACTAACTCCCCTCTGGTCCCTGCTGATCAAGCTGACAGCATAGCAGCAACAGCTAGGAACCCAGAAAACTCTCCCCCCAGTTGGCGCACAGGTTGGGGTCCACTCCTAACCAACCCCCAAACCTGCAGTTAGGAAGGAAAACTCCTTCCCTGGGGATAAAATTTGATGGAAACCCCCCAAAATTGGGATTCTTTGTGGCACACGTGCTCACCTACACGCAAGAATATGGGTGTAATTTTTGAACCCAAGGAGCCTGAGTACGAGTGGTTACCCTAGCCCTGGAAGGAGCCGCCGCCAGATGGATGGTGACTTTACATGATGCCGATGCACCAGAACTGTGGGACTTTGACTGTTTCATGATGGCCCTGCGACAACAGTTCGAGGACCCCCACACAGCTGGCAAAGTACGCGACCGCATTAAAGTTGTGAAGCAGGGACGCCGGCCAGTGGCAGAGTATACTGAAGAATTCCGAGACCTGGCATGTCATGTGAACTGGCCAGNGATGGTTGTGATATTGACAGTCCCTCAGGAACTCCTGAGGAGAACATCATCCCACCGTGATGCTGGCCATACCCCTCCCCAGCTGTTTTAAAAGTATTTCTAAAGACTTTTAAAGCACTACTTTACAAGTTGGCAGCAGAGCTGCTTTTCAAGTCATCAGCAGTCCCTCCCCTACTCACCCACCGGTCCTGGATCATGTGGTTGCACTGGCGAGATCACCCCAATCAGCTGGTCCTCCCCAGGACCCTTCGGCCTTACATTCAGCAGCAGTAGTGTGATCAGAAGCGCAGTTCAACCGGTGAAATAACTAACCAGAAATGCAGCTGGAGTGGATGCTCAGTGGAAGATGAAGCCGACGATGAGGGGTGGGATAAGGGGCGGGGCTATATCTCACCACTCTATGGGCTGAATACTTTGCATTGGTGGGCCGTATCCAGCCCACAGGCCATAGTTTGAGGATCAGTGGTCTAATCTGTAAAACCCAGAGTCAGAGTTTCATTCTTTTCCACATCAAGCACGAAGTTCAGAATCAGTTTCCATGTGGAAACAAAAATACTTATGTTCTTTTCTTTAATCAAAGTGATCAGTGTTACTATTTCAGCCAACTCCATCAACTTCTGTAACCATTCTTCCATGGTAGGAATCAAAGTGTCCTTCCATTTTTGCACATAAAATAATCTTTCTGCTGTCAACATATATAGTAACAAAGTTCCAAATTTTATTCCAGTTCTCTTTCCATTAGATCCAAGAGGAAAAGTTCTGGTTTAATTTTTATTTCCGTTTTCAGAATTTTCTGTATTAAGATATGAATCATACTCCAAACATTTTTTCCTTTATCACATGTCCATCATAGATGATAAAAAGTTCCTTCTTTATTTTTACCCTTCCAACATTCATTTGACATGCTTTTATACATTTTAGATAACTTATCTGGTGTTAAATACCAATGATATATCATCTTATACAAATTCTCTTTTAGATTATAATATAATGTAAATTTTAAATCCTTCATCCATATATTTTCCCATTGTTCAAGCATCACATTATATCCATAATTCTTTGCTGACTGAATCATACAATACTTTACATGTTCATTTTCAAAATTCAATTTCAGTAACATTTTATAAATCTTAGCAATAATACGTTCATTGTTGCCACATAATGAATGTTTCAGTTCATTTTTAATAAAGTGAAATCCATAGCACTTTTTATCCAATTTGAACCTTTCTTTCAGTTGCTGTGTCCCGGCATGCCTCCCTCAATAACCAAGAAAGAAAACTCCTAACTCCATTGTTCATGGAATTAAAATACTTTTACTGGTTATGAAAAGATAGCAGTGAAAGTAAAGCAAGATCTGATCCAGAAAGGCGCAAACCAATACATATCAAATAATAACCCAGCCCCTTCCCTCCAACGACCCCGCCACAGTGTCCAATCTGCAACTCTTTTAGGTGTCATGTGGGGTGCATCTCCAAAAAGGCATCATCATGCTGGTATGCAGGATGGTTGGCCTGGACCAAGTCCTAACACCGGCCACCAGCATGCACAGAAGATGGTGAAAAGAAAACCCTCTTTTTCATATCACTCCTGTACCATTTATTCCCATCCCAAATACCATGCCCCCACCCTCCCCATTTCTATGGCAGCCGATAGTAAGCGAAGCAGAGGCTGACATCCGGCCCTCCTTCAGAAAGGACATCATCCTTGGGGAAATAGAAAACAAAAGAAAACAACAATAACAACCAACAGCATTATTAAAATTAAGGCTTATCAGGATACTTGGTGTAGAACTTCTGTAAGAGTTTTGGAGCCCTGATGTAGGATTTGTTCCCCCATTCAGCCTGGGAAGGGGAAAATGTTTCCAGGACACCAAATATTGGATGCCTCCTCTATGTTTCCTGGAATCTAAGATTTCTTTAATCTCAAAATGTTGCTCTCCTATAAGAAGAGGAACAGGGGGTGAAGGTTGAGGTGGATGAATGGAAGACGTGGGCTCTGGTTTCAGTAAGTTCACATAAAAAACAGGATAAATCCTCCAAAAGGTTTTTGTCAAGTCCAATTTTACTGATACCGGATTTATGATTTTCACAATGGGAAGCAGACCCACTTATTTTGGACCCAGCTTCTTTGACTTCTGGGTGGTTTGTAGAAGTTTAGTGGACAAAAACACCCTATCCCCAACTTGGTACTCTTTAGGCTTCGCCCGTCTTTTATCTGCCTGTTTTTTGTGAGCATGGTGAGCTGTGTCTAAGGCTTTGCGAGTCATCGGCCAAAACTGTTGAAGTTGATTATGCCACTCAGACAAGGATAAAATTTGAGGTTTCTCTTGAGACAATTTAGATATTGGTACAAAATCCTGGCCAAACACAACTTTAAAAGGGATCATTCTGATACTGCTAGGTATTGAATTATTGTACGCCACTTCTGCATGTGGCAAAAGTTCCACCAAATTATCCTGTTGATAATTGATAAAACACCGAAGGTACTGCTTCAGAACCGAGTTAGCCAGTTCACAAGCCCCATTAGTCTGTAGATGGTGGGCGGAGCTTAGTTCCTGGGTGGAACCAATCAATTTCAGGAACTCTTTCCAAAAGTGGGAGGTGAATTGGACCCCCCCTGTCCGAAATAATGCGTTCAGGCACTCCATGTAATCTATACACATGTAAAATAAACAATTTAGCTAACGACTTTGCTGACGGGATCTTGGAACAAGGCACAAAATGGACCTGTTTGAAAAACAGATCGGTGATTACCCAAATGATGGTATTTCCAAGGCTTTTTGATAACTTGACAATAAAATCCATCGAAATCTCCTTTCACGGGAACCCAGGACCGGCAACACTTTGAAAGATACCTTGGGGCTTCCCTTGTGGTCTTTTTGTGGCCACACAGACAGGACAACTGGCTATGTAGGACTTGATGTCTTTTTTCAGGGAAGGTTACCAAAATTGCTTCTTAATCAAATGCAAAGTTTTTAAAAATCCAAAATGACTCACCATTCTCGAGTCATGGGCCCGTTGAAGGACAACAGTTTTTAGGCTGGCAGGAACATACAGCTTAGCTCCCACCCAAGCCAGTCCATCTTTCATGGTGCATTCATCAGAATGTTTTTTGAACCAAAAACTCAAGGCCTTTCTTAAGTTTGTCCATCAGTTCTGTTGTCACATCAAGGTCCACTGGACCCTGGCTCCTAGTAACCATTGGTGCAGCCAGGTTCTTAGCCAGGATAACTGGATGAACCACTGTTGGTCTGATGCTATTGTATTGGGGAAGCCTGGACAAAGCATCAGCCATAAAGTTCTTCCCTCCTGGGATGTATTTTAGGATAAAGTTGAACCGGTTGAAATGCTGTGCCCAGCGCATTTGATAGCTTACACGGGGTCTTCAATGCTTTCAGGTTTTTATGATCAGTCCATCCTTCAAAAGGGTGTTTTGCCCCCTCCAGGAAATGTCGCCAGGTCATCAAGGCCTACCTGACAGCAAAAGCTTCCTTTTTCCATATGGCCCATTTTCTTTCTGTTTCTGTAAGCTTATGTGAGGTGTAAGCGCAAGGTTGCAATTTGCCTTTTGCATTTGTTGGGAACAATACTGTCTCCACTGCCATGTCACTGGCATCAGCTTGAACTATGAATGGTGTGTCCATGTCTGGGTGTTTCAAAACAGGCTCAGTAGTAAACAATTGCTTCAATTTCTCAAAAGCTGCTTGACATTCCATAGTCCAATTCAGAGGCTTACCCAGCCTAGGTTTAACCTCTCTCTTTGATTTTAGGAGATTTGTAATAGGCAGTGCAATGCTTGAGAACAAGGGGATAAATTGGCGATAGAAATTTGCAAATCCCCCAAAACTTTGCAGTTGTTTGTGGGTGCGAGGAGGTGCTCACTCAGTGACAGCCTGGACTTTTGCTGGGTCCATCTCGATGCCTTTATGGGAGATATGGTATCCCAAATTATCAATCCTCTCCTGGTGAAATTCACACTTAAACAATTTGGCATAAAGTTCATAGTTTTTTGAGAACCGAGCATACCAAAGTCACGTGTTCATCATGTTTTTCATTGTAGATAAGGATGTCATCAAGGTAAATCAACACCTCCTTGTACAAGTGCTCATGCAAGACTTCATTTATTAATTGCAGGAAGACTGATGGCACCCCCTGAAGTCCAAATGGGAGTATTCTAAACTGGAAACATCCCAAAGGGCAGTTGAAAGCAGTTTTACACTCATCTCCCTCCTTTATTCTGACTCTGTAGTATGCTTTCCTTAGATCCAACTTCGTGAAAAATTTCCCTTTACCCAACTGGGCTAACATGTCCTTCATGAGTGGTAACAGATACATGTTTTCCAAGCAAATCACATTTAGATTTTTATAGTTCACGCATAAACGAAAGGAGCCATCTTTCTTTTCTCTGAACAATACGGGTGCGGCCATCTGTGGTCTAGCTGGTTGTATGAACCCCCCTTTTAACTTTTGTAATTCCTCCATCTCATGCGGGGTCATCGAGTAAATTTGAGGCTTAGGGAGTTTTTCCCCTGGGAGGATTTCAATGCTGCAATCAGTGGCGCGGTGGGGGGGAGTAGTTTGTTGGAGGCCCTTTCACTGAAAACCTCTCTGAGGTCCCAATATTCTTTGGGGATTTTCTCTTCTCCTTCAATCTTTTCCTGCACTGCGGCAGCTAGGTTCGTTTCAGCATTGGCTACATGGGACATCCTCTCCTTCCCCTCAGGGGGTTTAGCAGAACGAATGCGCAACCACCCTTTCCTCCAGTTCACGTAAGGGTTCCATTTCTATAGCCACGTTATGAGGGGTCGATCCATCCCAGGTGCCATGATGAAACTCAGGTTTTCTTGATGATCTCCCTTCCACATTTCTATTGGTTCAGTTACAAAATGGGCAGGGGCTCCCCCAGCCACTGA